GTCTTAATTCTTCTATCAAAAATGAGACAATACTGTTCATTAAATGATAAAGTATTTATTCTCGTTCCCCGATTTCTACGCGAAAAGATTTTTTTTCTGTTAAGTTTTATTTCATCTAAATTCAGATGGAATTCATTTTTATCTGAGAGATTGTTTCTCTGGTTTGTTTGTATTATTCTTGCTTTCTTTCCCCGCCACTAATCTGTAGTAATGACTACAAGGGTGTGCAGATCCTTATTTCATATAAACAAAATGTCTCGCTACCCTTTGTGTGTCGAGGCGCCTCATCACATACAATTCTGCATTCTCAACTTTTTTATCGGATGAGTAAGCTTTTCTCCTCTTTTTTTCATTTTGATGCTATGATACTTGGCACAAAAATAATATATTTATTATATAGTCTATTTAAAGTCCCTATAAAATCTATGCAAACACAAACGGTTCATAACACTACGTATTTACTAAAGAACTTCGAACGATAGTATTGTTCAAGTCAGTTTTCAAAGTTAAACATATTTGAATGATTTTTTCATATTTATATAGATATTTTTTGTGAATTTTCATAAAAAATAACTTATTTGGGAAAACAAAGAGACAATTCTATAATTTTGGTGAAACTGAGGTTTTTCACTATTGAAATAAACGAAAAAAAATTTTAACACCCCCCCCCCCCCCGCCGTGAAACAAAAATTCCAAAAAAAAAAAAAATTCATATTCACAGGTGGAATATGAATTCCACAAATTCAAAACAAATCTTTTATTGTTTCAACTTGGGGGGGGGGGGATATGTTTACAAACAAAAAACAGAAAAAATGGTTATTACCAATTTCAATGAAATATATGGAGATAACGAACAGTATTCAAGCTCAAAAGTCCATTAATCAATACAAAATAGGAGCAGAGCAAACACGGACCTCCAAACATCAGAGGTGGGATCAGGTGCCATGGAGGAGTGAGCATCCCCTGCCAACCGGTCACACCCGCCGTGTGCTCCTTGTCATGATCGGGAAATAACGGAAAAATCCGTCGACAATTCAGTGTGTAAATAATGGCCTAACAATTAGTGTGAAAAACGTCAGTCAGCATTTGACTCAATGATAAATTGTATTTGCTGACAAGGTCATTGTATCGACCATAGAACTTACGAAATGATGACTTTAAACGAGACAACTGATATTCTTGTTTCATCAACTTATTTGTCAGTAATTTACCTCGTTTCAGAAATTGTACATACGTAGAGCATGCTCTTGCGTACTGAATCAACTGAGAGATATAAACCCCGTATGCAGGTGATGAAGGTATATTGCTGCATAAGTAAGGGAAGTTGACGATTGAAAAGTTAAAGTCATCACGTTTATCATAAAGCTTGTTTGTTAGATTACCATTAACGTCTTTTTCAAGTAAAATATCCAAATATGAAACAGATGTGTCAGACTCTGTGGTATCTTTTATCTCAAGTTCACAAGGATATGTCGTATCGACATAAGAATGGAAATAGCCATTGTTAATATACAATACGTCGTCGATATATCTAAATGTCGAGTTGAAGGCCACAACAAGTGTTTTCTTCTTTTCACGTACAAGATTTTGGACAAATTCTGCTTCATATGAATACAAAAAAAGGTCTGCTAATAACGGGGCGCAATTGGTACCCATGGGAATTCCAATAGATTGTTGGAAGACCTGGTCTCCGAAAACTACATAGATATTGTCAATCAGAAACTCAAGCATCTTTTTAATGTCAACTTCAGAGTACTTGTGTGAACAATCAGAATGTTTTTTAACAAAATAATTTTGCAAATGACCAATGACAAGGTAAGTATATTTACGAGTTCCATTTTTATTGAAAAAGCAGCTGTCAATGATATCAAAAAACCTGGACTTTAATTTATCGTGGGGAATGGTTGTGTACAAAGTTGAAAAGTCGTAAGTTTTTAAGCTGTTGATTTTGGTAAAATCTTGTGATTTCAAATTTTCCAAAAGTTCCTTGGAATTTTTAAGTATCCACATCTGATTTACACCACTTCTCGAATATATTGTTGCACAGTACTCTTGAAGTTTCTCCTTCACCACTGTTGATATCTTAGTGAGGAGTAAAGATAGAGGCTTGGTTGAACATTTACTGGAACCCGCTATGTATCTTTGTTTGTAAGGAATTTTATGAAGTTTCGGAATCCAATATAAATATGGTAATTCAAATTCATTTTGGTTGTTTGGAATATTAAAAATATTCAAAACTGACATATGATTTTGAAGAATTTCATCCTTAGAAAGGGAACTATGAGTATAAGTTGGATTACCACTTGTAGAATTAAATCCAAGTTCCTCTAAAATACATTTGATATAATGAACCTTACAAACAAAGACAATGTTGTTACCTGCTTTGTCAGCAAGGACCAGTACGTACTGATCATGTAATCTATCTAATTCTTTTTTCACTTCTGGTTTATTGAATACAGAAGGATAGATGGTTTTCATATTGCCTCTCAGTCTTTTTATGCGCGATTTTAACATACATCTGATACATTTAATCCATTCTGACAAAGTGTCAAGGTCTTCTTTTTCATGTCTGGTCCATCGCCTGGCGTAGTCCTCTACAGAATCCATTATATTTATGAAATTCCGACGCCAGTTGAAGGATCTGGGTTCCCTAAATTTAGGACCTTTTAAAATTAGTGATCTAAGGTCCTCATTATTAACTATATTTACGTCACCAGTAAAAACGTGTCCAGCAGGACTATAGTTATAGGAACATGAACACGATGGAGGATTATGCTTCAGATATTCGATATCCAGGCCCTGTAAAGTTTTCTTTTATTTAAAAAGTTTGGAAGCAATAGTCGATGTATATTTGTAGGAAATACAAGGTGGAGTCTTTAACTTGAAATATGGTGGAATACAAGACTGGACCCTTTTGTGATTAAGAATATTACTTATATTAACCGCGTCAATTCCTTTGTTGGCATATTGAAGTTTGAGGAAAAAACGGATTGTTTTAGCTGCATTTTCTTCAGTAAAACGCGGGGGTTTAAAAAGCCTATGATTGGCAATATCCATAATTACAGATCCGAGCCTATATTCTGGTGTCGAGGAATCAAAAAATGGACTTTCCTTGACCTTTTCAAGAAGACTATTTAAAGGTTTCAAAGGGACAGAGTAAAGTTTGGTGCAAATATGATGTAGACCTAACTGTTGATTTACGTAAGGTAGTAATGAATCAAAAGAGACATCGTGTATTAAAGGTTTATTGTAAGACCGATGCCCATGACTACGCTTACGTCTCTGTGTATGGTTAAAAAGTCCCATCACATTTACGTTGTTACATTGTGGACTGGAAAGATTTCCAACGCTATCGACATTGTCATTACATCCATAGGGAAAGGCTGTCCCTAGCTTTCTAATCCAAAATTCTTCTCGTTGTCTACGGAAAGGTGTACTCAGTGATGGACTGTTTGTGTGGTGGTAAATCTTTTCCAGAATTCTAACTTTCATTGACAAAATAGAATGATCAGGTAAATTAAAATGTTTGTATAAAAGTTGCTGACCCCCATTATTTATCTGAAATCTATGACCTGATGTTCTTTTATTGAGTGATCCCTTCGTTTCACCAACATAAACAAGTCCACAAAGATTACATTCTATTCCGTAGACAACATTAGAAGATTTGCAGTTCAGATTTTCCCAAGTTTTGGTACAGAAGCTCTGTCCAGTAAGATTACTGGTGAAAGAAGTGTTAGTTATCAAAATGTCACATAATCTAATCATAGAAAGATTTAATTGCACTCTTTGTTTCCAGAAATAAAAACTATCCAAAAATTTCCATGAGAATTCACCAAAAGTGACTAACTTTGAAAAAAAAATCAATTTAGTGGTCTCCCTGTAAATCAAAATTTATGCAAATTTTGTTTCAAGCGTCAATTCTCAATTGCAAACTATCACAATTCTAAAAGCATTTTGATATCTATTTCAAAGTGCTCGATCCTTCATGAAATTCACTTTCTGAGAGACAGAGATTTTGTAATGAAAAACTATGTCTTATAACATTAGCTTATGTTTTGTCTATCATCACTATTCGATGAAATTCGATGTTATAACTTAATAAAACCACGACATTAGCTGTTGTTATCTATTTTTTTTATATGAACTCTAAAAGATAGAATGTGGGAATCATTTTTTCCTTCAAATTCATTAACAAAATGTTAATACAAGGAATATGATTTTAAATGTGTCAGATAATTTCTTTTAACTCCTGGATTTGGAAAGACCAACTGACAAAATCTATCAAAAAAAAAAAAAAAAAAAAAGAAGAAGTATACACTAAACATGGAAGAGGTTGTTTTCTTACAATTAGTGTATTTCTGTCTTTCTTTCTTCTTCTAGCACGTGTTCACGGGTACAGTTATTTCGCTACGACTGGGTGTGTTCAAACAATTCCTGTCTGATCGACTTGGAACGATTTAACAAAACAGCACAAAACTTAGGGTAAGAGAGAGAGAGAGAGAAACTCTTAACAAGACAAAACAAAGCTTTAACAGTTTTTTTCAAAGGTGTACGTTTTCATGTTAAATTAACTTTTGTTTACTTCTGTGGTTCTCTGTATATGTTTGAGATTTTATAAACTGCAAAGTTTACATTTCATGCATTTTAAATGCTCACTGCAGATGGAAAATTGCAAACTACACTCGTTTCTGGAATAAAACGTTCATTGATGGAATCAAAGAAAATGTTGGCATAGCAACCGAAAGCAAAGCTCAAAACATGTCTTCGCTTCAGAATAAAGTACAGAATGATCTCCCGGCCTTCTTTGACTCTAGGAAAAAGTGGAAGTCATGGATACATCCGGTTCGTGATCAAAGAAACTGCGCATCTTCCTGGGCGTTCTCCACAGTAGGTAAATTTTACACAGAGCGCCATCTGTCGTGTTACAATCTTTCTGTGAAAAATTATGTTTTGCGAAATTTGCATTTATCTTCTCAGACGTTGCGGCAGACAGATTGGCGATTGAATCCAAAGGATTACTGACCAATCAGCTTTCGCCTCAGCATCTTCTGTCATGTGACACAAGGCGGAAACAGAGAGGATGCGAAGGAGGGTCTGCAGAAAAGGCTTGGTGGTTCATTAAACGAAAAGGGTACTTCTCTAACCTGCTTCTCCTTGCAATAATATTTTCGATGTATTGTCTATTTCAGCCAAACTTTTTTTTTAGAATCATGACTGAGGAATGTTATCCTTATAACGTCACTCAATCGAACACTTCTGCCAACAAATGTCTGGACAACTTGGACACATGTCCGAATTCCAACTCTTCCACTTCCAAAATTGTCCTATACGTCACACCACCGTACAGAGTTGGGAAAAGTGTGAGTATGAATTTCCTGCATATATACCTGTATCTCCACAGTGTAGAGATTGTATTCTTGGCCATCTGAGGTCAAAGATCACTTTTTGCATCATTATGGGGTATATCCATATCAAATATTTCCCAACATGCATTTTAAGGACCCGGTGTTTGACAGCCATCAAACTTTATATGCATCCTTGTTGCAGCAAATATATATTTCTTTACTTCTTTCCACATTTTATACTCACACCCAAAGGAACTCAACTTATAATTACATTTTCTGTGATAGGAAGAAGAAATTAAAACAGAGATATATAAGAGGGGACCAGTACAAGGTATGCTGACTCTTTATCTCCTGCAAGGCGGGGATAACTTTTTTTTTCTTGTGGACTAGGGTAAATATACATTGCAATTTATTTGTAGGTGGGCATTCTAATAAAGCAGGGGGGAAAATAGGTCATCAAGGTTAATTTTTGTAATTTGTAAAACTATTTTCAATTTGTTATAGAAACATATCTTGAACACTGTTCGGCTTATGGATATGTCAACTTGCCAGCTGATGCTTTCTAAAGTTGATAACGTTGGTGTATTTTATATACCTATTTTAAACATTATGAGGCCAAAAAACATCACACCTTGCCACTTAATGCATCTTGGGGTGTGAAGGTTTTTTATATATAGAGGGTCATCATGACCTTATTTGTAATTTAGTAGCTACATCTATGCTTAGTCAAATATTGATGGATATGTTTATCAGACCTTTTCAGTTAAGTATGGATTCTTCTTATATTTATTGTATTCAAACATTTTCTCGGATTCAAAAAGACAATATTATTAAATGATGATATCAATTAAATTATATTATATCTTATCATAGTAGCAAGATCGGGTCGAGGTCAGTATTTTTCTCTCTTAAGGATAGAGAATTACTACTACGCATTTCTGTATTGAAATATTATATGTTCATCTTTTTGGATAAAAAATAATACAACATAACATCATAAAATTCTTAACAAACAATGAAAGATACATTGTCCAGCAAATGCTCTACCAAGCCCTTATCTTTACTCCTTACAAAAATATTAGCTGCTGTAAAGGACAAACTTCAGATGTACTGTGCTAAAGCATATTCTAGAAGTGGTGTAAATCAAATGTGGATTCTCTTAACCTCCTTTTAGAAAATTTAAAAATCACCAAATTTTTCAAGAGTCATGAACATCAAAACGTACGCCTTTTTACAACCATTCCTCACCAGAAATTAAAGACTAGGCATTTTTGGTATCATGGAACTCGGAAATCCAGAAAGTGCACCGAGCTTAAAGACTGTTGTTTCTTATAAGTTTTTAATAATCATTCAATAAGCTGCAGTTTCTTTGGTTTTATTTTTACCTCTTATAGCCCATACCTGTGGTGTGATGGGGGTTGCAGTAGATGGAATGAACCAGATCTTGGTGACTGCAGGGATGGACGGGGAAATCCGGTTCTTGGGGTTTAAGAAGCACTAGAAAATTGACACCTTACAGACAGAAAACTACATTTCAGGGATTGTACTGCATAGGGAAAGGTAAAATAATTCATACATGTCGTATACATTTATGTCATGGAAGATGTTACACGTACAATGGAAGGAAATAATGTGCTTAAATTATACTATGATTTACAATTTTTTTTTCCTTTGTCAGTGTTAGAAAACTAGTTAATAGAGCATATGAAATAATGTACACACATGTAGCCAAGGTGTGAGGAAAACATAGTGTATAAAAAAAATTAGGAAGGATTTATCTGTGGTTTAGAAAAGCTTGGTCCTTTAAGCTACAGAACTTTTGTACACCACAACTATGAGATAGTGAAAAAATGGAGCAAAGTATTAAAGGAAAAGGATCAAGGTACTGTAAATGTACATTTTTCTGTGTTGAATTAATTTTCACTTTGTATGTGGACACAAATTTGTCATGGAAATTTGTCACGGGTACTTAAAGTGCATTTAAGACATACATTGGTAATCTAAGAAGTCTGCATACTTTTTTAATTGAGGATTGAACAGGAATTGTGATATCGCAGAATTATGACAGCCTGGAAAAAAGTATGATTACAGTATATTGGTGAAACTGGTCATAGTTTTTGCTCTTCATAGAATTCTAACATTGACATTCTACAATGTATATTACAGTTTTTTCAGCAGTTCATTTCTTTAAGGTCTGTCACTTTCCTTGATTCATCTTAAACATATTTTTAATTTTTTTCCTCTAGCTCGATGCTGGCTGTAGCATTGGACAATTTCCAGATCTTTGTGGTAGATTTAGATACTCGCAGAGTGGTCAGGAAGTTTCAGGGTCACAGTAACAAGGTGACGGTGATGCTCGCTGGTTGATCTCATCCGCCATGGATTGTACAGTCAGATCATGGGACTTGCCCTCTGGAAAGTGAGTAAATTGTCCACCAAGCTGCTGCATATGAAACTCTGTGTTCAGTTTTTGATGTAAATTTACAACTAGAAATGATTGAAAGTGTAACAAATTTGTTTTATAGACAAGTGTTTTGTGGAAAAATTTTTGAAAGGGAAAAAGCATAAACAGTCAAAATTTGTTATCTCGAACTCAAAGGGACCGAGATTATACTTTGAGATATCCAAGGATTCAAGTTAACAGGGGTAAAAAACGTAAAGAAAATGTTGTTGGGACTGCCAAATCACGTCGATATATCCCAAGTTTTTTTTTTTGCAAGTTGTATGCTTGTATAACATATGTGAAAATTATTCTTTTCGCAGCAGCTGTATCATCTGTGTGTTGGACTTTCACTTTAGGTTGGTAGACTGCTTTTCAGTGGAGATGGCTGTGACCTCTCTATCGATGTCTCCGACTGCAGATTTCCTAGTGACCAGTCATGTGGACAGTGTAGGGGTGTATACCTGGTACAACAAGACCCTCCTCTCTCACGTATCCCTGGCCCCACTCCCAGACGATTACCAACCACAGGAAGTGGAAATGCCTGACACACGATTCACTGGAGGAGATGACAACCAAAATGGTGAAGGACATGTTTTTATTCTTATTTTGGGCAATTAAGAGTTGTTGAAGTGGTATTAATTTAAAGTTGTGTGAAATGTTGAGAATGATGATATACACTTTATTCTTTTTAACTACTATATAATACTATATTATATAATGAGTTATTTTTATACTATATAATGAATTATGTGATCTTTATCCCATCAATATTTTTTCCCTTATTAGTTTTCTTCATTTTAGCCCTAGTTTGTTTCATGAATCAGATCTGAATAGTGTACTTGTTTATAAAAAATACAAATCCTAGACATTCCTAGATCAAGCAATATAAATATGTACCTGTAAATCTTCCTTAAAGCGATATTAGCTGCAACTTTGATGTCGGGAATTTTTGCTGCAATATTGTAATTAACTATTTCTATGACAGAAAAGAGAACGTTTATAAACTTCTGTTCTTTATATTTGAGATGAAAGAACTATTTATAAGTATTGATTGAAGCAAAATTACATTATTGTCATCCTGTACAATATTGATTTCTAATATAATACTATATATTTCATTGTACAGAACTCTTTCTTCTGAAAAAAATTATTACTTTGTTATTGTCTAATTGATCATAAATATTTAAATTACATACAGATGTATCATAACAGCACGTTTTGACAGCAAAATAAAATACTCAAAAATGCAGCTCATATTGCTTTAAGCATTGTTTAATAAATCCTAGACATTCCTAGATCCAACAGTATAAATATGTACCTGTAAATCTTCCTTAGGCATTGTTTAATAAATCCTAGACATTCCTAGATCCAGCAATATAAATATGTACCTGTAAATCTTCCTTAGGCATTGTTTAATAAATCCTAGACATTCCTAGATCCAGCAATATAAATATGTACCTGTAGCTCTTCCTTAGGCATTGTCAACAAATCCTTTTCATACTTATAGTAATACTGTCATTCATTGTCCATTAAACAATAACACAGGAAGATTTACATGTACATATTGATACAAATGGTTCTATGAATGACTTGTTCTGTGTACAATTACAGCTGAAGATGACACGGTGCTGGATGATGTAGATGATTACGCTTCCCCAGAACAATTATCCTCCGAGTTAGTGACCTTGTCTCTTCTCCCTAACTCCCGCTGGCACAACCTCCTCAATCTGGATGTCATCAAGGTCAGGATTAGTGCAATACTGTATATCACCAAATTTTTGCAACATTTTATTTTCCCAAGATACATATTTGGTATTTATAAGTGAGACAAAATCATCACAAATTCTGGTTACTGTTGTAATACTAACACTCTATACTAATGAAAATATACACGAATATGAAATTTTGGTGAGCAAACTGTCTCACATAATTAGGAGAAAATAACGTTCTCACAAATAAAAAGTGATTTACAGTATTCTCATCTCTCTGTTCTTCATCTTAACTGTAGCTAATGAATGATTGATTAACTTGAAATGTTTAGTGAATTTATTATCTTCTTGTGAGGTAATTGGTTTGGTTAATTAGTTTGATACGATTTCATTCGCAGATGAGAAATAAACCAGAAGAGCCCCCTAAAGTTCCTAAGGCAGCGCCTTTCTTTTTACCCACAATTCCTGGCTTACAACCCAAGTTTGTCGTCCCTGAACACACAGAGGAAACAGACAAGGCCAGTACACATGTACCTAATACGGGTTGAACAATTCACAAACACTGTATTGCTGATTTCTAGTTTTTTTTTTAAATGTCAGTAGGAAATTTTGAAAACTAGAAACACTAGACATATAGTAACAATGACATGTAGAATCATTTGACATAAAGCAACAATGAAATATAAAAACGTGGGACATTTAGTAGCAATGGCATACAGAAACACAGGACATCAAAACTGTAAACTTTTCACATTTTCATTTTCTCCTTGCCCTCTTTCAAGGGGAGACAATTAAGAATTAGTGAAAATTTTCTGACATCTTTCAAAAATCTTCTCAAGAACCACTAGGCCAGAAAAGATTAAACTTGCATGAAAGCTTCATTACATCGTGTAGATGTAAGTTTGTTCAAAACATGAACCCCAGGGGGGTAGGGTGAGACCACAATGGTTGATCAATATTTTACATAGGAATAGATAAGAAAAATCTTTTTAAAAATGTTCTCATGAACAACAAGTCAGAAGAATTGAAACTTATGTGAAGGCTTCATAGTGTAGATTCAAATTTTATCAAATCATGACCCCGGGGTAGGATGGGGCCACATTGGACGACCAACATTTTACATATTAAGAATATAAAGGAAACAGTCTTTAAAAATCGTCTTCTCAAGAATAGCAAAGGCATGATTAATCATATTGATATGAAAACATCTTCAGGTGATGTAGAATCAAGTTTGTTCAAACCATGACCCCCCTGGGTAGAGTGGGGCCGTAATAGGTCATCAAAATTACACATAGAATTATATAGGGAAAAAGTCTTTAAAAATCTTCTCAAGAATAGCAAAGGCAAGATAAGTAATATCTATATTTTCTGAAGTGAATCCATTTTCTCACGATATAATTACAGTCAAACCTCATTATCTTGAACTCGACTGAGAAAAAACTTTGAGATATCCAAGGATTCAAGATATCGAAGTTAAAATACATAGAGAAAGAATAGTTTGGAATGCCAACTCACTTTGATATACCCATGGTATTTGAGATATCAACGTTCCATATACTGAAGCTTAACTGTAGCTCTAAGAGGCCTATATGGTACTTTTTTTTTGTTTCAGAAGAAATCGGGTGCTGATCTTTCTCGGTTTAATTCTCTTGGTGAACTTGGACGTAGACTAGATGAAGGAAAGGAGGGTATGTATTATTATCTATCATGAACGCCGGCTGTTGCCGAAAATTATTCTCTGATACTGTGTATTTTTGATGATACAAAAATCTCCAATTAATGTTTCAATAGTTCTGATTGATTGATTGATTGTTTATTGTTTTACGTCCCATTCTAGAATTTTTCACTCATATAGAGACGTCACCATATACCGGTGAGGGGCTTCAAATTTTGACCTTTACTCGGCACTCAGGGCCATTGAGCAGTGAGGGATCTTTATCGTGCCAACGCCTGCCGTGACACGGGGCCTCGGTTTTTAAGGTCTCATCCGAAAGACCCGCAACTTTCACTCCAAAGTGCCGAGCGCATGGCGAAGGAACAGTTGCTACCTATTTTTTTTTTATCGATTTAGGTCTGTCGCGGCCGTCAATAGTTCTGAGTAAAGTACCTTTGCATTAATTCCTTTTTCCAATTCGTAGATTACCCGAGTTACTCAGGTGAATTATTGTTATCTGTTTTCGTCTGTTGTTATGTCGTGCATTAACATTTGAACATTTTCAGTTTCTGTAGCTGAAGGGGAATGAAAATTTTATGGTCCCTGCCATCTCCTCCCCTCCCCCGAGCCTGAGAGGTTGGGCTATAACCATCAAAATCAATGTAATCTTTAAAAATATTCTTTACTCCTGGACATCAAGCAATGAAACTATTGGCATGATTGTTATAATCATTGAGTCCTCTGCCAAAATTGTGAATTTCATGGACCATGGGTCAGGGGTTCTGGTTTTAGGGTGGGGCTTTTTAGATCATAGTGAAAATGCATGAATTCTTTGAAAATCTTCTTCTCTATTCCTGGGTATTTAGCAGACAAACTAAGTGCATGGTTATGATGAGCAAGAGTGCTTCTTCCATAATTTTGAAGTTCATTGGGTTCAATATAAAGAATGATAGTTCATTGCCAGAAATTGTTTACAGCAGGTGCAAGGTAGCTATCTTTTTTAAGTGTGTCAATTTCTAGCATTTCCCAAATACTCCTTCCTTGTCAGCGGAAACAAGTGGTTTTAAAATTCAGCACAAATAGTAAATTTATTTGTCACCTAGTTACTGACACTGTACAATACTTTATAAGCAAAATTTTAATAAAAGTGAAATCTAACCCCCCCCCCCTATTAATTTTAATCTGATTAAATTTGTATACTAACTTGTGTCTTTCTTCTTCGTGTTTACTTTAAAGAATAGGATAATTAATTATTGCATTTAATTGTAGAAATATATACCTTTAATAAAAGTGAAATCTACCCCCCCCCCCCCATTAATTTTAATCTGATTAAATTTGTATACTAACTTGTGTCTTTCTTCTTCGTGTTTACTTTAAAGAATAGGATAATTAATTATTGCATTTAATTGTAGAAATATATACCTTCAAACTCCGTTATCTTGAATTCAGTGGGTCCAAGAAAAAACTGAGAGATATCCAAGGATTCGAGATATTCAGGGTAAAATACTTAAAGAATAAGGGGTTGAGACTTCCAGATCACTTGGACATATCCATAGTATTCGAGACACTAGTGTTGAGATACCAAAATTCTACTTTATCTTCATAGTAGAAACACAACAATGCACACACAAAAAACATATTATATTTTCTTTCATAACAACTGTCAGAGAGAGTTTTAAATCTTGAATGTAGTCTGTTTCCCATTTATTTTGATCTCGTTATTCCAGATAGAATGAAGACATTCTCCTTGTTTTGGATAACCCTTTTGTGTCCACAACAATACAAGGAACCCTTTTTTGTGCATAACAATACCAGTTAAAGCAACTCATATAACATTCCTATAAATAATACCTCATAAGTTTGTTGATCATTTTTCACACTTAAGTTACCTTACCTTAAAACACAACATCATACAAATCAGTTAATGATAATTAATTTTTTTAATGCTCCAATTAAATATATGTATCGATTATACTCTATTTTGAGAATTTCATGTACCTATTAATCTATCTATCTTTTTTTTAACCATAGCTGCAACTTGAAAAATAACGAAGTTTAGTTAAAAGGCTTACGTAGTGAAAATGCATTGATACTTTGAAAATCTTCTTCTCTGCTATTGAGTATTTAGCAGAGAAACTAAGTCATTGTTATGATGAAAAAAATTACTTCTTTCAAATGGTGAAATTCGTAGTCCATAAGATGAGGTTCTGGAGTTAGGGTGGGGCTCTACATGTATTATCATAATGATCATGAATGGGAAGAAGAGAAGTTATTCCCCTTTGTCATTTACTTCTGATAATTAATCACAGCGTTTGAAATAACCCTCTGTGAGAGCATTTGAAAAACATAAATTTTTACCCAGGGCTAATGATTTTAATTGTATCAATGCTAGGCTGCAGAAGTTAAAATTTCTGCTTATTACATATGTAGTAGCCTAGATGTATTAAACTTAAGGTCAAGATCTAGTAAATGAAAGGAGCCTACAGATTTCTCAATTTGGAAAAATACATTCCTTTAATGATGTTTTATAACTATAAGTTGGTCAAATAAGGTGTTTCAGGGCATAATTTGTTGGTAGACAAGAAGAAAAATATATTTTTAACAATCATTTTCAATGAAAAATTAAGAAAACGAGTGATGATAATAGGAGTTTTTACCATATCAGACAAAGGAATAGTATTCAGATTGCCTACAGTCTCTCAGAAAATGGTAATTTATATGTTCCTAGCCTCTTCTTTAAAATGATATTTAATTGAAGATAGATATCGGGATTACTTTTCACATGATTTCAAATTGAATTTCATGAAAATATTTCATTTTCTACATAATTCTGTTAGAGCCTTAAAGTATGGGGAAGAGAAAGTTTAAATTGATTATGACATCATGATGGATTTAGCACCAAAAAGACATTCTAAAGTTATGTACTAGATCTTGACCTTAAGTCAGGATTCTCATTAACATAGTTTTGATTTGAGGTAAGCGTGATTAGTGAGGACATGTTACATAGCTTTTATGGTTACCAGCTATGAAATGCAAGGTGGATGGCAAAACAACGTATTTAGTTTTACATTTATAATGAAATTAATTTTTAAAAAAGGCAATTATTTTCTCAGGGTTAGGAGATGTTAGGCAGGGCTGACAACTTTTACTAGCAGTCAACCCTGCATGTTTAGCTAATTTTACCATGGGTTTCAAACATGAAACGGAAATAACAATTTACATTGGGATTGATGTGCTCTTTTGCTAGGAGATGCTCCACTTTGTTATGTTTGGTTATAGTGATAGAGTGTAAATAGCACTGGCATGTACAGGCAAGTTTCTGAGTTGTTGCTGATTACCAGACTAACTATTTTTTTCATTCCTATTTACAATTTTTCTCTTGATTTTGAATTTCAGTTTATTTGGTATTATATATAATTATTTACCATTCCGTAAATCCTTTACAGGATTGTATTATACTCAGGTGACTGGTAAGGCCCTTGGGCCTCTTGTGTATATATGCTGTATTGTGTATTTTTCCTTTTCATATCTTACAAAATAAATAATGGAACTTAAACAGCTCACTCTGATTTTCCTGAAAGAACTTGGTCCCTCTGCTGTTGATAACGAGATTCGATGTTTAGGACCTGATGCGGGGGGATCTGTGACCACTATGTGCCAGTTCCTTCACTTGATTAGTCATGTTCTGGACACCAAGAAAGACTTTGAAGTGGCCAATGCTTATCTGGAACTTTTTCTTAAGGTAAGTTTTTGTACTGTGATGAACTGTCTACTGAGATGGAATTTTCTGACAGAAGATCGATTGCTTATTTGTCAGCAATATTTCAGTCATAGAAATTAAAGCATAGTACACCATAATCAGCAAAATTTGAGACTCATCAAAATTGAATATGAAAATATAATAAAAGAAATATATTGCTTTATCAACTTTATCTCTCTTAGCAGAGGGTTATTATCTCCCACTTTTTTTAAAAATGAAAGGACATTAAATCTCATTCGTCTTGACGACCTAGAAGCTTGACTTACCTATCAAAAGTTTTAACTTTGACCATAATTTTTGCTTCAGAAGAAACAGAGCTTTTACATTTTTAGCTCACCAGAGCTGAAAGCTCAAGTGAGCTTTTCTGATCACCTGTTGTCCGTCGTCCATCCATCCACCCGTCCGATTGTCTGTCCCTCTGTCTATCAGTCTGTCAGTCTGTCCCACTTGGTTTTCAGCACTTTTTTCTAAACGCTTGCAGATATTGAGCTGATTTTTGGTATGGGAGTGTACTATGATGAGTTACAGATCAAGTTTGCATTTGGTGCTTCATTGATTTTTGACGGAATTACGACCTTTTCAATTTTTAAGGGTTTCCATATTTTTTTCCCTAAACGCTTCCAGTTATTGAACTGATTTTTGGTATGTGACTTTACCTTGATTAGTTATAGATCAAGTTTGCATTTTGTTCAGCTTCAATGATTTTTGACGGAATTATGGCATTTTCAATTTTTAACAGGAACCAGATTACACTTGCTGGTAGGGGACTAGTATTGCTAATGCAATACTCTCAGAATGCTTGTTTTGGTTAATAACACATTTTATTGAAATAGAAATTTCATGGAGAATAATTATAAAAAAAATGTTTTTTTTAAAAGATAGAGTTAAAAATATCAGTTTTTATTGCTGCCTTGTGTACATTCAGGGAAACTATTAATGTAATACATGTAGTACAGTCATAATTGTCTCATTCTTTCATTGCTAAAAAAATGTTCTTATTGTAAATTTAAAACAAGAGGTTGTAAACTTACAATTAAAGGATGAGACAACAGTACAGTTAATCCTCTGGGAATAATTATATTGCCTGCTTTAGACAATCTAGTACATTATCTTTATCTGTCACATTAATACTACAATTAAAATCCTGTTTGAAAGTGATGCTTGTTTTGAGGTTAAGGTCAAGCCTGGGTGATGTTTGCATTCACCAAAGGTTGGCATTTTATGAAATGTATGCTTCATTCTGGTTTAAATTACACATTTAATTGAATTATTATATGATATGATGGTTTTTTTTTCTCTCTTATTAAATACAAGGATATTATTAATTTCTAAAGGTTGGATAATCTCATCTCTCATTAAAGAAGTATGTCCAAATTTTATAAACATATTCCTCATATTTTTTTTTAAAAATCCTTTTTAATTTTTTCCTAAGTCAAATTCTCATCTTTTTAAAAGCTGCATCCTTAGATTTATATCCCTCTGTGGGGCCCTTGCTGACTGGTCAGCTTTGATGAATTCTCAGTTAATTAAATACTACATATAGTACCTTTACATTTCAATTTAACAATGAATATTTACTAGTAGTCAATTAGATAGCCTAATACTTGTTTTCCCCACAGCTGTGAAGTGATGTTTGAATAAACATACAGTAAATATATTTGTTGTTTTGTTGTAGATTTATGGTGATACAATGTCCAGTCATCCTGAACTGGTTGAAGTTCTGAGAGAGGTGAAAGGAAAACTGAATCAGACGTGGACTTCCATACAGGATCTGTTTACCTTGAATTTAACACTTCTAACCCATCTCAGGACAGCTAAAATCTGAGAGAGAAAAGAGAGAGAGAGAGAATTGTGTGTGTAGAAGAGAAAGAGGGAAAAAATTGTGTATAAACAGTACACATCTGTCTTACTTGAATAAAATATCACTATAAATCTTTCTTTTACATGAACCTTTTGTTTACAAAATTAGAGATGCTTACTCCTCCATGGCATCTGATCCCACCTCTGTTTTCAGAGGTTCATGTTGACTCTGCTCACAGTTTATTTTGTGGAATAGACTTTTGAGCATGATCACTGTTCTTTATCTTTACATTTCATTAGAAGGGACTTGGGCTTTGCATGGTGTTGATGCAATAGTCGTAATTTATTATTATAGTGAGCTGAGGTGAAAAGAATAGAAATATGTTCAATAGTTATTGCTTTGCAACAATAAAAATGGAATCAATTTATATGATTTAAAATTACTATATGGAGGGCAAAATTAATTATTTTCCTCAAGCAAATTTTGGTAATACATTTTTTTACTCTGTTTGTTACTGTTATTATTATATATCTCCCTGGGTACTTTTTTGTCTGAAAGTTCTTGAGAATTAGTCATCCGGTTGAGATGAAACCTTTATATGGTTAATAGGCTTGTTGTGTAGATGTGCAAAACGAAGGTCATTGACAAGATAACGTAGTTGGATAAGCATGAATGCACAAGTGTGCATTTGTGCTTCTCTCTAATTGGCTGGGACAAAAATCTCAATAACTTCTTCCTTCGTTGGTCAGAGACCATAACAGCTTATGTGATAGAAATGTGTACATCATCCGACCATCCATCTGACTGATTGTACTTGAACAATTTTTCAAATTGCTTCTCCTACAGTTTTGTTCCAATTTCATTGAGATTTGGTGCATAAGTACATTATATTAGGATACATAATTCTAATGATAAGTTTTTGATTTCGACAAACAGTGTTGCCAATGGAAATGTCTTTGAAATCCTTTGAAACGCTAGTCCTACAGTTTTGGTCCAATTTCATTAAGAATTGTACTCCAGATGTTATGGTTATAAGCCAAAAAATGTCCATTATGTCAGATATTAGACAGTTGGAGGCGTGTTAGCGCCTAGGAGAGTATAACATCTGATATAATGGTTAGTTTGAGGCTTATAACTTACTCAAAATGTTTTACCAATTTACCACTGTAGTCTTTCATTTGTAGGAATCGTCAAATCACCGTTTTATGTCGATAAATATGAACATTAACTTTGTTTAGTCGTTTTTATCCGCATTGCAACATTTTTCAGATTAACCCCCGGTATACCACGCATGCGTTAAAGTTGGTTCTATTAAATTTTTGTATTCTTGGCAATTTGTCATTTGTCATATTAAATTCTTGACAATTTATTAATTTTACAACACAACATTACGAATGGGGATATACATTTAAAAACAACGACTTCTTCAGATTCAGGTATTCTGGACAATGTCATAAAAACACCAAAAATTCAATGCAAGCTAAAGCATTTACATAGATATTCTTTTATTTCGGGGTTTGCAAAAAAAAAAAAAAAAAAACAGTTCTTTACAACAAACAGTACTTCGATTGTGAGCAAGTTTTTAAGGATTTTACTCTAGCCACCCCTTAAAAGCAATGACAGGCAAATAACACAATACCGGAAGGGCAAATGGTCACATATCGCTTAACGAAAATGCGGGTTGACATTACAGAATAAGTTGAAATTTGGTGAGGGGAATATTAAAAGGAAGAAAAATGGATGTTCAACTTAGCAAAAAATGCCCAAGGATACGTGTAAGTAAACACATGCATCTGATTCTTCTTTTGTGTTCACAAGATTCTGTGAATGTTTTGTGAGATTTGAAATAAAGAGAAATGAACGGTAAATTAATAGACTTTAAGATCGGTGCCATGGATTCCTCTACATTTCCTGTGAGACATTCAGGACACCGTTTATTATTCCTGCAAATTTCAACCAGGATTATTTTGTGAAATATCTAAAATTTATGCTGCTAATATTCTACATTGTTCATATTAAATTGCTTAATTTATCAAAGCTTTTTCAATCCTGTTTATTTATCAGCGTCGCCCTTTCTTGTCATTTATAGCTGTCCAATAAGTTGAATCTTGTTAGACACCTACAGGTAACTTATTGGATGGAGTGCAGGACAATAAGAAATTTACTGGACCAGGTTCAACAAAAGGTGATATCACAAAAATGTTTTAAATGTAGTTATCATTTATAAAAGTATAAACCCGGTTGAATGTTTTACATTTCTTGCGAGGAATCCAGTCGTTCAAAATATAAAAAAAACCTCGAGACCTTCAGGATCTTTTAAAAACAAATTAACTTTTAATTACAGAATAGCCAACTGTCTGAATTCGACTGCTTGAAATTTGAAGTGTGTGAAAGTAAATATTCAGCGACACCCACAGCGCGTTACTCTCATTCCCTTCACGCTGTGTATGACGGTAGCGTTTTTTGTCTGGAATATCAGGGACTGTGACTGATATTCTATTGGGACACAGCAAATTCTTTTATTCAAGAGGAACTTCATCAGGCTATGATTAGTGGCGTTGACATACGCATTCAATGGAGCAGAATGACAATTTCCAACACAGACATTTGCTTGATAGGTTTCAAGGTACTGAATGAGTTTCGGATACCAATTTACGTCCTTGAAGTTCACCGTCCAAGGCTTCAAGCTACAGTCATCCTTGTTTTTGGGCAGATTGAAGATGGATGGGGCATTGCCTGGTTCGAACACAAATCGCTTCCGTCGTATCCGCAAATTGGAGATTTTTAAATCTAGGAAAACTGCCAAAGTTGAGTTTAGATATTGTACCTGGCCTTCTGCACCATTGACATGCAGCCTAAGGGTTGTATTTGACATCTGATCCATAACGAGGTTGGTTATGTCAGCCACGTGACATTGTTTTTTGTGAATGGTATTCACAACTGAAATAGTGAAATCAAAGAGAGTTGAAATTATTGGCAGAAAATCCAGCAACATATGCTTACAATGCTATAGTCTCCGCGCCAAAAAAACAATCTCTAGACCAGCACAATCATTACATTTATAGACACTAGAGTACTATTATCATTTTCAGCAAATTCGCTACATACGTGTACTTGAGTGCAATCATCAGTTAATGCTAACAATACTGATTATTTTTAGAGAAAAAATATTTAGTGATATTCATGAATTGGCGATCAAAACGGCTAATTACGATACGGGGAAATAATAATATAATCAGCAGGTCGACAAATAAGGGCTGGAATTCGGAGGTACAGATGTTGAATTGTACAGTGTTTATTCTATAAATATTATAATCAAAGTCTTGAAATAAAATGACAGCAAATTCCATTTAAACAGATGTTGTATAGGACAGTTAAATACCTTATTGCACAATTAAGTGATTGAACAATTATAAAACAAAATTTTTATTTTAAATTAGAAAATATATTTTACCAAGCATTTGTTCACTTGGCATAAAAATAATAAGACTAACTATAATAATATTAAAGATTGAAAAACATCTTTGTTCGCCCATTTTACACACTATACTTAAAACATACACTTTAATGCTGTAATTAAGAAAAAAATTAAGACGAAACATTCCAATTTCTACTTATAAATGACTCGATCTGATACTCTTACAATGAATATCATGATAAACAACCATATAAGGTATTAAAAGAACATTTACATTTTAAATGTGATTGACTGATTGTTATTGTTTAATGCCGAGTCGGCAATATTTCAGCCACATTTCCGCCGAAATTGTGGCTGAAATATTGCCGACTTGGGCGTTAAACAATATTAAACCAATCAATCAATGAATCACACTGAAATGTAATACAAGGAAATGTAAAATTTAAATGGGGGTGTGATAAACGAAATACCAGGCATAATGCGGTAGACCATGGGACGAGAAGTGAGAACGGTCTGAAATACAGTTGAATTAATTTATCTCTATAACAAATTCCAGTGTTTCCAAAGTGTCTGCGTTTTCAGTTAATATATTCATTTCATTTTATAGCATTTTTACCCAGTATCAACAAAATCTACTTTCAGTATATTTAATCTAAAAGAATGGTTCCTAGTAAAAAACATTTTACCAATTCCTGGCTTATACTGTGATGTAACTTTTAGGGAAGGCAATCGATCGACGGATGTGTTCTGTGAAAGCGACTTCTACCTTGGTCACGACACCGTGAGCAGGTACTGCGTTAAGGTCAAATTTAACAACCCCATCGGACTTCTCTGTAAAATGAAATCAGTGTCTTTTGTTAGTTGTGATGCATTGTTAATTCATAATATCCCCCCTGCTGTAGAAAATTTCATACATCGATAAGACATCTTTGGTCAAAAACTTGACGATTGTCATGTAAAACATAGAGCGACTGAGGGGCAATATGAAAATCATCTATCCTTGTGTCTTCAATAATTCAGAAGTGAAAAAAGAATTAAATAGATTACATGATCAATATGTACTGGTCGCAGCTGACAAAGCAGTTATCAACATTGTCTTTTTTGTAAGACTCGTTATTTTAATTATATTTTAAAAGAACTTAGATTTGATTCTGCAAGTGCTAATCCAACTTAAACTCACAATTCGCCTTCTAAAGGAAATTTTTTTCAAAATCACATGTCGGTTTTAAATATTTTTAGTATTCCCAAGGATCAAATTGAATTTGAATTACCATATCTTTACTGGATTCCTAAACACTTATCCTTACAAAGATACTTAGCGTTTTCCAGTAAATGTTCTACCAAGTCTCTTTCTTTACCTCTCACTAAAATGTTAACAGCAGTGAAGGAAAAAACTTGTGGAGTACTGAACAACAATATTTTAGAGAAGTGATGTAAGGTATATGTGGATACTTAAACCCCAAGGAACTTTTAGAAAAGTCACAAAATTTTACCATAACATCGAAACATATGACATTTCAACGCTTTATGCAACCATTCCCCACGATTAATTAAAGCTTAGGCTTTTGGACATTATGGACAGCTGGCTGCTTTTTCAATAAAAAAT